TATTAACTCACGAATCACCTAAAAGCGCGTAAATGTAGGGAATCATAGGTTCGGGCTTGCTTTAGGGAATCAAATTGCTTGTCAAAACTATCTCGCGTGGTCGATTGCGTAGTATGTACTGTTTCTAATGTTTTGAAGGATCTAACATTTTGTTCTGTTACTCTGGTTTCCGAGACCACAATGCACTCAAGAAAAAGCAATTAGCCGGCAAATTCCCTCGAGATCTCGAAGGTCCCCTTATGCTTTAATGACAGCCGAAGTCGATTAATAGGAAGTCAAAGGAATGTTATAAATCTTCTTAAACCCCCCCTCCCCCTCCCCCCCCCCCCCCCCCCCCCCCCCAAAAAAAAAAAAAGCTCTTAAAATGAGAAATGACGGAAATACGCAACATGTGCAGCTGGCAGCAGGGAGTGCATTTAGAGCAGGCCAACGTATGGTCATGCCCATTGTGCTTAGCTGCGTGGCGTTCAATTGTTTAATTCAGAAATGTAATGCCTAAGAGATTGAAAAGGGACGCTCTAGAGCGCGCGCAAGTCTAAAGGGCAGAAATTGGTTAAACAAAAATGTTGATGTTAGCACCCACGTCTAATAACTAGGCCCGGCATGCTACCTATGTAACTTCAGAAAATGCCCAAGAGAAATCTGGAATGTAACTAGGGTTCGGAATTTTCGGTTTAAACCGATAAAAACCGATAAGGGTACGCCGAATCCATTTTCGTAAATTCGGTTTTAACCGAAAAAGGTCAGTTCTTAGGTTCGGCATTTTCGATTTAAACCGATAACAAACCGATAAAAGTACGTTGAGTCCATTTTCTAAAATTTCGTTTTAAGCGGAAAAGTCCACTTTGACCTTCCAGTCGTACCGCAGAGTTTTGCGAAAAAGTGGAACGACAGTGTCTATCGAAACGTGTCCGAATGAGAGGGATACACGGGTGCCATCACGACGTTTGGGTTTAATGCGATCATCGATCTGAACGTGAAGTCCGAAATGCCCAATAACTTCGCCATGTATGATCGTGTTTTCGAACTCGTTGTAAGGAAGACTGACCTGATGCAAGCTCAGCATCTTGTGTTGAGCTTCAAAACGTCGCACCATGTCTCTTTTGGCGGTCATAATTGGTTGATTGGCCGATTATGACTGAGGCAGCGCTTCATCTCCTTGGCCTGCCAGTGTCCAGTGTTAGTGTTGAGAGGGCATTCTCGAAGCTCACGGTCATATTAACAGGAAAGAAAGAACGCGGATCAACGAGGAGAACCCGGGAAAGTACATCTGTGTGAGTACAATAATAAGATCACGTAGTCCTGATGTACAGAAGGTGAAGTTCCATGTTTTTTGGGCATACGCTTCATATCTGACTTGTTCGTACTTCTGTGTTTTTTTTTTCTTCTGCAGTTGCACACATTTGCGAAATAAAGTGTCAAATTCTTTTTCAATGTATCTGTGCCATTATTCTTTGAGTGATCACAAATATCAGAATTACAAGGGTCATCTGATGCGGTGACCGTTGGTGTTTATTTTATATTCAGCGAAAAAAGCCGATAAACTTTTGTGGGCATAAATATACGCCGAAAAAACAGGACCGAAAATTGAATTTTAAAATAAACACCAAAACAAGTACGCCGAATTTGGAAAAAAATAGAAACCGAAAAAGCGGAACCCTAAATATAACCCGTGTTCTTAAGAATGCCATCCGGGTGTTAATCTTACTTTTGATCTTACCTTCACTGCGAGCATTATACTAGAAAAACAGTTGCAGTTTGAGGCGCCCAATCTTCATGTCCTTCAAACTGCCTGATATCTGCAGTGCCACAGGTAGTCTTCTATAGTGAGTGGCAGAGTAAGAACGGGAGGGCCTGGCTTTCGAATGCCCTGCCTCAAGCATATGCTTGTTGGTCTTTGTTGTGCCTTTTATGCGCGTGCATGAACGAAAAGACGCATTAGTGTTCTCAAAAGTAGGGAGCTCGCGCTGGAGACGAGACAACTAATCTTCAGCCTGGCGTTCTCATCCTGGCCGGGACAATAGATTTTCCTGGCTAGTTATGCAGAATTGAAACAAACTTAATCGTTTGGTGGGCGTTGCGGAGACTATCTAAATATTTCATTGATGTTTTTTTTTTAACAACTAAGCCTATGATGGCAAAACAATGACGTGTATGCGAAGCGTGCGACGCAGAAAGGGCTCGTAGGTGTTATACCACGTGACAGGGACCGCTCGCTCCCTACGATTTCGTCAGCCTCATATCAACGCCTGAAAAGTAGCAAAGCCGCAGTTCCGAATTGCTGGAGGAACCTAGAGAAGGCCGAACACAGGTTCACCTTCTTCACACTCCTGCTGCGCCTGTATTCGGCTCGTACTCCTGTTTTCACTGATCGAAAGCGAATCCAAGCCGAACGTCGACGCAACTATCGAGTGGAATGTGCATCCCGCTTTTGCCTTCTTTAGGTGACTCCGAAAGTTGAGCAGTACGGCTTCGGTACCTAGGAAGGGTTGCTCATTTCCGTCATATCGTTTGCACCCGCATCTGTGTTCCAAAATCTACTCGATCACGCGCAATACTAAAGCCTCTAAAGGCTTCGTACCCAGGCATTAAGGGAATTAACCTAATTATTCGAGTTGTGCTCTATCATGATTCGACACGCCGGAGTAACTTGCAGATAATTGAGTCCGAGGCAGTAAATAATAAGGAACCAAGCCGATCTAGATTTTAAAAAAAAACAATCTTAGAGTGCTGAATTCTTTTTATCTAGTACCTATATTTCTAGCGCGGGGCAGATATTGGGCTTCGGTGATAGATCTGCGTTCGATGAAGTTCGCGCTCTATAAGTGAAAGCATTGAAACAGCGCAGGTGTCCAATATGGTGCTTGCTCGTGACCTCTCTAGGTGACGTAGAAAAATGAGCACTACGGCCTTGTATCTGGTTGTTGTCGTGGGAGAACGGTTATATTTCTCCATGTTTTATTGGATATCTTTGGTAGTATACCGTGACGCTCTACCAGAGTACGCTTATGAAATCGGCGCTTGTTTTTTATCGCCTAGAAATCACTTTGGGGTGGCATGTATTGGTATCAGCGAGTGATGGCTCTGAGCACGGCGAACATTTTATATGGCACGCAAAGTTTCACAGCGTAGCCTTGATATAGGGAGGCACAAATCTCCATGCTGGCTTTAAAATCGGCCGGAAGCATTAGCACCTGTGCCTATCAATTTCAAACTTTCACCCAAGATGTATTTTTGTGGATTGTATCTTTAGACGAAGCGAGCTGACGACCAGATTGGCTACTTTCAGCTGAGTGTTTCTTGATCGCTACGATTATCGGTAAAAGAATATCACCATTGAACGGAATATACCGGTCATTGTGTTCTTATGTGTTAGCTCATAAATTTTGTCATTTTTTTAAAAATTATGCTGTAATGCAGAGCGCATTTTTTCTCTCGTCTTTACAGAGACTGGAAAAAGTAGATCAGTGGGGTATTTTTTATGTGAAGCTCAAGTCTTCTTGCAGACACATTTTGAATAAATCTGTGTGGTGTTGAAGATGAATAAAATCAACCTTTTACAGTTTACAGCTCTAACACCAATAAACCTATGTCAGAAACACATCATAGCTCAATATTTACAATTTCAATAATTAAAGCTTTGATGCCTATTGACATGCGAGCTGAGACCCCTCTTAGATGAATAATAACTCCAGGTAACTCTTGGAATCTTTGATTAATTGAACCACTCAAGTTTTGTCCCAACCAGGCTGCACCGGCAGCTTTTGAGACTTCTCTGTTTATGTCATATTTTAAGGAAAAGAGGTTTCTGTTATATTCTCCAATTTTAACTTGCAGCATCTAATTTGCATCTTCGTTTTAGTACCGTTCATGTCAATAAAATTGTAGAAGTCAGGTGCTTAGATATTTGGCCCAATTATATCGACACGATTTTCGGAAAATAAACTTTAACTTGTCTTATCAAGGAAAAAAGGGATAGGTACACTTTTACGAGCTACCCCCACGTATTATCTGCTGTTAAAAAATGAATTTTCGTAGGGGAACTCCAGCCCCACCAAAATAATATATTCATTCAATCCAGGCCATTGAAATATAGAACAGAGCTGGGGGTTTCTGGAGGCGTGGATAACTCTATTGGCGATATCAAACCACCTCTGTAGGTTTATTTTAAAGCTTTAATTTACAGACAAACACAATAGTCTTAGTCAATAACTTAAGATTCATTTCGTCGTTTACCCTGAGACTGGTTTTTTTTTTAGAAGAGCAGAAGTAACAGAAAAAACAGACAGGTCTCAGGGTAAACGACGAAATGGTTGACTTCCACCAGCTAGCCTGTACTTTGACTCTTTTCTCGTTAAGATTCATATTCTCAGCAAAAGTGTCACTTGTTCGTCCTGGTTTCATCAGATATACATCAGCAAAGTATGTATCGGTCGGATGAAATTTAGAATTGCAACTACTGCATTGCAATTTGAAGCCTGCATATAATATTGCCACGCGCGCAGCTGCCAAGTAGGCAGCGCGGGCGTGGCGCAACGATTATCGAGGTTGCCTCCCACACGAAGAGCCAGGGTTCGATTCCTGGGAGCGAAGTTTCTTTTATTTATTCTTTCTACTTGTCATTCTCGCAAGTTCGAGAACTTTCTCGCTCCACCAAGTTACGAATGTTCTACGCCCCGAACGTTCTAGGCCGGATGTTCCAGAAACCCACGCCGGTACATAAGGTGCTCCGCGTGGCGAGCCGGGATCAGTTTGGCCCCAGCGTTCGACTCTGCTGTCTCGCCGTCTTCGACGCCCGCGACGCTTTCTTCTGTTCCCTTTTTATTTTTTAGGTACAACTTCGCCCATTAAACGTTTAGTTCCGTCAGTTACCATCGCCTCATCAATTGTCATTCGTGACAATATTACTTATATCAATGTTCTTTCTGAATACCATAGTGTGTCACAGCGTCTAAAAAATATTTGCGAATGTTTATGTAATGTGATCAAGAAGTCACACCTTTATATTTTTACAAGAACTTTTATTGTTTGCTCCTTTTTAAACTACAGGTTTTGCGGTTAATTTCTTATTTGATGTGGCTAGCTGGACACCAAGTTCGTGACAGTAATGGGAAGACTAAATGACGACATCAATTGTCATTTTTGCTTATTTTGATATCGTTCACACATTTTCCTAGAATGCAAGCCTGTAAGGAAGTGCAAATATTCAACTAATTATGATACACCGCGGGGTTTGTGAGACATTAACCCCGTTCATTATAAGCATGCGTATGTAAAAAATATATTCATAAATTTAATTTTTGCGATTTACACCTTTTTATTGATAAAATAATGCAGAGCCAGCTCTTGTTGGCATATATCATTTGCGGTTAAAATAAGTCTATGTAATTATACCAAATTTTAAAGACACATACTTTCCTCGTAAAACAAGGAAATAATAAATATTTGAGATTAATTGATCAATTCTCTACATTCCTGCAAGCAATCATGCATGAAAAAAAAATTACTCAGCGAACACTGGTTCTGCCAATGTTCGCCGAGTAAAGGTTGTTAGGTTATTAAAGAATTCCATGTCTATCGCGATATTTCATTAACCATGATAGCAATGGTTACAACCAGGTACGACGCACCCTCACATAGCGCGAGTGCACAAACACAATTCGGGATCTCGACCAATCGCCTGAAAGGAAGTACTTTTCTCACGGGTTCAATGCGATCTTTTAGCAGACAATCATCTCAATCGACGCCCGGACTTTCGATAAACCTTATTTTGCATCGCATCCCACTATGAATCATTTTAAGTTACTGAAAAGCAATATATTCAGGACAAATGCAATATCACAATATCGTCCTTATTCACACGATTCAAACGACGGCGACGGCTTGGCCTACCGGCGTGTGGCGGACGGCATACTTCTGGCATTCGTCGTCTGCTGCAGGCATCTTGAGGGCCGGAAGTTGCAGTCGTAGATATTTCAGAAACAAGCGATTACTGGCTCACTTCAGTCGAAACATACATGACGTTTAAGCTTTCTATATCTGCGATTTCTAGAAGTTTAAATCCTACTCACGATTTGTGAACGGTCGGAGTTTCGTAGCGAAAGCTAACCACATGTATTGGTCCATAGCAACGGCCCTAGCAACGGTTTGTTTGGACCCATGACGTCACACTTAAGGAGTCAATTATCCAAGCATCGGGAGGAGAACGCTGGAAGTGTAATTCTACGGTCCGCGCGCGCTGGCCTTTCTATTATAAAAGATTCGAAGTAAATATTTATAATAAGGCTCTGACGAACGCAGGTGCAAGGCAAAATTCGTTTGAGACGTTTTGCTTTGGAACAATTACTCCTGCAGACGCCAGCACGTGCAACGCGTGTGACTACACTCGTAGCATGCGCCTTGGTGGTTGGGAAATTGAGAAAAAGGTCTATTGGGACGCTGTCGACTTTTGTGTGCTATCAATACCCGGTCGATTGAGTCAAGGCAATCCGCCTTCCAAAGACATTGCCATGCCGACAATTATCGCGTTTATTTAGGCTTAAGAATGGTCAGAATCGAAAGTCTATCTAAACAATGCGGCGAGGTCATTGCTCGATTTAAGTTTTTAAGTCAAAGCGAAAGCCTCCTGCCCCATTCGTCGCTGAATAACGCGCCCGATATTGCAGCTACAACGACATATTTTTTTTAAAGCGAGCGGCACTCACTGACCGGGGCATCGCCATGTTTCCCCGCATCCCTACCCAGCCAGTCGCGTGATTTCAAAATCCATCTCCTAGGTACTGCTCCTAAGTTTAGCCGCGGTTAGCGGTTTGAGCGAACGGACCCAGAAGCCAGAACTGAATTAGTCAATCGGCTCAACTGCCTGAAGCCAGAACTGAATTAGTCAATGATTTTCCTTTTTTTCCCTTTTCTGTCCTTTCATCTTCACTTTTTTTCATTTTTTATATTTCTGTTTCGGTTCAGTTTTATTTTTCCATTCGTTTATTTTGCGGTTTTATTCCTTTAACGGATGTTTTTCTCAACTGCTTCTTCAGATAAAGAATTTGTGAGGGAGAGTGTACACATCGAAGGAGACATCAGTAGATGTTCGTTCCTCGTTGAGTCCTTGCCCCTAAGATACCTTATAATTTCATTTATTTTTCTATTTTCACCAACCCGCTCTGTGTTTTTGTTTATAATGCCCACAATCTAGTAAAGCTTCACTCACTTTTTTCTTTCCGCAAGGTGTACCGTCGACGACAGTGAGTCTCCAGTAGTTTGTGTTTCCGGTGCATTTTACCTTGCAGTCTCTGACGCCGTATGTCTGCGCGGAATTTAAGCAGAATATTTGTAATTAAGCAATATGCAAGTTTTGCCTTTTGATAACGAAAAGGTACGACTAACTAATGCAACTATCAATCACAGTTTGAGCGCATTTCGCAAAATTATTTCATTATGAGAGGGAGTCTAGATCTAGAGCAAAACTAAAATGGGAGAAAATTTAAGGGAAACGTCTGCGTCTTTTTATATAGGTCAAAGCGTGCGCTAGTGAACAACTAAAATACACACTGCCTAGGAACCATGTTTTGTGCAAACATTGCGTCACACGGAGGGACGGGAGCATTTCAAGTCATCAAGTTCGAGAGGCAACAGGACAATCTTGATTTGAGTTAAAATCTCTAGGACTTTTGATTCGGTCTGTTTATAAATGTCCGGGGGGGGGGGGGGGGGGGGGGAGGGAGGGGCGCTAAAATGTCAGACTCGGTAAGCAGGTTTACATTTTCATAAACCAAAACAACTCTTTATCCCGAAGCTGCAGTGCTGCCGCTGTCTACAAAATGACGGATGGGGATACGCTTCATTTCTCTCAAATCTCTTTCACGCGCACACACGGTGGTTCGTGGACATTCGCGCTTGCCTGTAAATGGAAAGTCGTTATATACGACTGCATAATAATGTGTATATGGGTGTATCGTTTTCTTGAACTTCATTATATTGTGTCCGCATACTTAACTATGAAATGCAGAGTCAATTTTCTGAACTCCTGCTTTCGTATGATTTCAAGATTTGAGTGAGCGTGTTGGATTACATGTTGCGCAATATGGTGTTCGGGCCAGTTCACTTACCTTGTCGGCGTGCATGCCTTTCTCGTACCTATACACCCTCTGACAGTAGTTGCTCAGCGTTGTCATCCTACCAGGAAGCTTAGACGAGTGTTTTATTGTTTTTGTCGTGTATCGTTCTCTAAGACATTTGAATTCCGGACGGCTGAAAAAAAAAAGAGTATTTCCTACTAAAACAAATACCAAAATGCTTATTTTTCTACCTCTAAATTTAACTAACTGAATTTACATAAACAAAGCACAAGTTCAACGAGGCAAGAACGAAATATTCAAATGGCAATCTTTGAGGTCTTAAGAAAGCACAATTAATCATTATTACCTTCATTATTTAGTGAGAAGAAAGGCTCACCTATCAAATATATTCTTGTCTTATCGGATTTCTCGTCCTGCTACCCGCCTCTGATAATGACACGGCGCACTGGTTCAACAACACGTGGACGTTTACTGACCGTCATCGCCGCGCGCCGCGATCCACAAATGCCCAGCGCATACCCTGCAGCGTCCTTTAATTAGCCTCGGATTGCCGCTCGCGTTGTCATTTGTTGCACTTGACACCCTCGCGATGGAAAAGTGCCAGAGAGAAGTTATCGTGCGGGCAATCTGGTCGAAGGCTTTGAATTACCTGGTAGGCTAGTCTTTACATAAAATAGGTTGTCCCCGCGTAAAGTTGTGATTTTCTTATCAACTTTGAACCGTGTAGTATATCTAACCGTGTCATTTGCCGCCGTTAAGTGGTAAAAAAACAGTATGGCAACCTGAGTTTATATAATTGCAACACGCTTTTTAGAATCCCGTTTCAGCTGTAATTTTGATCGTTTCGTATACTTATAATTCACGGTTAAGGACACACGTGCACCACAATTTCCTTTACATCTATTTTAGATTAATATTAATCGTATGTATAAGATTTCAAGCTGGTTTAATATTTCATCCAATTCATTGGGTTCCAAAAAGTTTCGTAGGTCTCTTACATAATTCACCACGAAGTATTTAAAGGGACCATGAAACGATTCTGCAATCGAATTTCATCCACCGGACGTCGTAAAAGGTGTGAAAAGGAACACAAAAACACAAAAATGGGGAGCCAAAAAAAAGTCTTTGCTATAGAACTTTTAAAAGAAAACTGGACTCTTTTGCGCCTTCTTTCCCTCGAAAGCTTTCTGCCTTTTCACTGTAATGCATCCGCGGAACTGCAGCACGTCAGCCGAATCCACGTCGCCTATTGGGTAAGCGCCTACCTCACCAGCACCGCGATCATATACAATAAATAGCCGGGAAATGTTTCCTAAAAGTTTTGCTAAATAATATTCACATCCACATTTTGTAGCATAATTAGAAATGTATGACGAAAATTACCAAATTTGATAATGCTGAGAGCCAAGCGCCATCTATCGTGTGGTAAACAAAGCTGAGAGCCAGCTTCCGAGCTGTGCACGTTTTACGATCAAATCAGCATGGTCGACAGCGTCGCTTGGTTGGACGACCAACGAACGTTTATTTTTTTACGTGTGCTTCTCGCGCGTCCCGACTTCAAGCAGCACGAAAAAAGTACTTGAAACAGACCACGACGAACAAGAACGCTGGATCCACGAACACCCGAGAAAAGCTACGACGGTCACGAATCCACCGTCTCCGACCAAGCGAGCAGAATATAGGCCTAGCAGGCACTCCGACTCGGCGGAGCGTTGCTTCGACGGTACTTGTCATCTTGTTTTCCGAGGCAGTGTTGACGAACACTGTCGTCGAAAAGGGACTCTCGTCGATTCTATCTTCTTGTTTTGTGTGATATGGAGCTCGAATGAACGCCGTATGGATTACCTCCGTAACACGGTATGTACAGTACATGTACACTTTGTTATTAGTATGCCATTTTTATTCTGACGCGACTGCACGTCACTGTCAAGCTATAAAAGTTCGTGGGAGCTACGTGCAATGCCGGGCCAACGTTCCTTTGCCGAGTGCCACGTCAGTATCGAGTTGAAATCGTGAAAAATCGGTCCCGAAGCGCTCACCAACAGAGCAAAAACAGCACTACCATCAAACGCGCGTCCGCTCAGAGTGTGTGAACAGGTATTTACGTGGCTCTTGCTGACACTGTCGTAGTTCAAATGTATCTTTTTTAACGTCGGCTCGCTCCTGCATCTCCGAGGCCGGGAAAAATGCCTCGGCGATTTGTTTCCATCTACGTCGCTTTGCGAACGACTGACACGGGCCGCCTTTTACCAACAATTGACAGTTGGGTTGACTTCTGGAGTCTTCCCCCGAAGACTCGCCGCACTTCCCAACAGGCATTCCGGCGTATGAGACTAGTCCCATGCTGTCGCTGTAGCGCAACATATCTCATCGAATTTGGCTATTGCGGCGATGAGAGGCGCCGATTCAGAAAATACGTCGGTGACATCAGCGCAGTAAAACCTACCGGCGCAACCCCAACTCGCCTCCGCTAAGGCTCACATTCTCCTACTGCCGAGGAAACTTCCGGTTCCTATCCCAGCGTACGTCACGACCGTCAAAATTACGCCGCAACTGGTTTTGCTGTCAGTTGGAGAGAAAGAAAAAGTAGATATTTTATTTTCTTTTTGTCTAGAAGTTAATGAACCGAGACGAAAACGGATGCCTGTTCGGCATTCAGTGAACGTTGAAGGTTTAATTTTAAAGTTATCTGGCAAAAGGAAAAAGTTCATTTCATGGTCCCTTTAAATTAGCCTCAGGGGGTTTACTGAACCAAAACAAGGTTGTTGTTTTCTTCGGTCATATGGTGCACTGATAAATCCAAAACAAGGTTTGTACAATGAGTTCCTAAAATTAACAATTATCGATTACAGGCAACTGCCTCATCGGCCCTGCTTCAAGCATTAATAGAATTCGTTACTGCGAACAACATGACCGGATGTTGCCTTATATGGCGTTTTGTGAAGCAGAAAATGTAAAAGGAAAAACGTTTGTACTAACATAGAAAGGGGGTTCCACGTAAGAGGGAGAGTATTAAAAAAGGGAACATAAAATTAAGACATGAGTCTTTAAGGATTATGTAGTCCACGGCTGCAGACGTAAGAAGGCAAGTGTAAACTGCTCATTTTATATTTAATTAACCCAAAAGCTTCACATGAACTTTGTACTAGCCGTTTGTTTTAGCTAGCATGCTCTTTTAGAGATTTGCAGTCAGTCGTTTACTGAGGCTACAGCAGTTAAGAGATCTTAAAATATGAATTTTACTTCGAGTTATTGCGTGTCGAATTTTGGCAATAACGGCAGCGGGAAATCGAGACTAACTCGAAGAAACCAGCTCCAGGAGTCGGAACAGTTTTACTGCCGAAGAAGTGTCAGAGTGTGACATGTGGTGACTCGCAAGTTGCTGTAAACACGTGAATAAGAAACCAGTTTGAAATCGGGTCTCGGCCAGCTCCAGCGAGCCGGTTGAGGATTGGACCAAAGCTTATCGAAAGCCCAGAGACATATCTGTCTCATTGGTATAAAAATGATAGAATATATTTAGAAGCGCCATATATAGTTTATAAGAGACGCGCGCGATGACTTCCAATTACGGATCCACTCCCAGGAAGATGCCGCTAGCCGGTTTTGGATTGGGCCGAAGTTTTCGTTCCCTTGTTGACTGCAACTTTTTACGTCACAACACGTCACAGTCTGACGCCTCTTCGGCAACGAAACTGTTTCAGCTCCTGGCGCGTTTTTCTCATTTAGTTTTGATTTTCCGCTTCAGTGATCGCCCAAATTCGCCACGCATAGCTCATGGTAATTTTGTTTCCCCTGAACTCTCTCAACTGAGTTTTTTTTTTTTTTTTGTAAACGACGGGCATCTGCCTGATTGTTGTTGATTGAAACGTGCCCCCTAAAACAAAAGGCTAAAAGTTAATTAGTTAATATGTAATAATTACGTATGTAATGATCACTTTGCGCTTGGGCTCATACGTTCCTTGCCGTGAACAACGTAGCCCCGCGTGAACCGTGCCTTCATTTCAGGTTCCATTTCTTAATAAACCCTCTCACTCTTACATAAAATACCCTGTACACAACGCGCACTAAACAAAACGGAAAAAAAAGGTACGGTATTTGTACCCTAAAAGAATGGTTGAATGCTTACTTGTAGAGGTTCCTGACTTCTCTCTGGCAGCAATAAGAGAACTTATACTGGCGCTCGTCTTGCATCTTGTAACTCATGAGGTATCCGTCATCCCATGGGCAGTCCGCAGATCCAATGTGCCCTTTCACCCAATCACTGGGTCCATCTCCGTCATGTTGACAACCCAAACTACGACAGATGCAATCACATTATAAACATAAAGTTCTGGACGCTCACGGTCAATTGCTTTGGAGCAGGGGGGCATGGAACAAAGAACTGAATAGCATAGTTCAAGTTGAAAACGTAATTCTAAATGTAAATTATAACATTGTTTTTAAACGTTCGCACTGAAGGTCACAATATTATTTCATGAAATACTCTACGTCTACTTAAAAAAGAAAAAAAAATCAACCTTTTTTTAAAAAGCCATTTAGCGAGATTTAATTTTTGCGTGTATAGTGTATCGAGCCTGTAGGATGTTCCACACCTTTTTATTTAACTCCTTTAATATAACTTTGAATGTCGGTATGATAGGAGTTACGATAAAAGATTAAACGGCAACTCCGGTCAAAAGCAAAGCCCAAATAAGTGAGTGGTATCGCTTTAGTGGCACGAAATGTGAGCACATCTGAAATATTACGTCAAAGTGAAGCTGCGTACTCTGCTACTAAAACCGATTTTAATGATGCGCCCAGCGGCTCTTTAGCGGAGAAAAAGCGGGTTAGCTTTTAGTCAGGTAACACTGGCGCTGCACCTTTGTGATGCCGCGTCGCGGTGGAGCTGCGGTCGATCGGTTGTACCGCATACCGTAGCACCCAGATGACGTCACGTCGCGGTCGTGCGGCTGACGGCCAGTGTTGCCATCCCTCTAGCAGATAGTTTCAATTTCGCCGTATACGCCCGAAGCCAAACTTTGAGCCGTGATAATCATAAAACTACACAGAATATTAAAAAAAAGAAGTTATACCTTGTAATTCAGTGACAAGGCCTTAGCTGAAAACAGTCGTAATCAGAAATACAAAAAATGGTAACCGAAGCTAACCTTTTAAGTGAATAATATTCTTTATGCCTGTGTCCTTTCACTTAGTCACTTACAAAGGCAAAGGTAGTGTCTTGGGAAAATCTTGTAGCTTTGGGAAATGTTTTACACTGCACTTTTAAGTTCTAATATGGCGCTTCAGTACAATATAATGAAAAAGAAGCCGACAATGTTTCTGTTTTGTGGATAATACACGTGTTCTAATTACAACAAATATCCCCCTATTTTTCTGAGCAGTCTGTTTCTTATCGCAGTATCGCAAAACAACCACAACAAACATTTCATAACACCCAGTTTCAAAAGTGAGAAGCCAACTTTAGAAATTTTATATTTTTAGCAACGAAGAGTACGTCGTGTCTTTGAGAGCTCTTGTACCACCAACGGGCCATTGGCCAACGAAGCATTAACTTCGCTGACTAACAGCAATAAAATAGTTTATCGGGGCGAATAAGTGCTACGACGAAGAGCATCTAGATTTTTTAGGTCAGCGTAACAAACATGAACAAATTCTAAAGCAAGATTGGCATATGGCTTTAGACTATAATAAATGTAAATCGCTATCTTTTTCCCGCAGTTCACATGTTCTATCCTCCACTTACCACCTTTTTAGCATCCCCAGTAACTGCTTCTTCATCGTATAAATACCTAAGAATTCATGTGACATCTGACCTGTCATGGACCACTCACATAATATCTGTCATCGGCGATGCTAACCGCTTTCTCGGATTTCTTCGCCGTAACCTCAGACAAGCCACCCATCCCGAGTAAAACAACTAGCTTATACTACCTTGGTCAGAAGTAAATTAGAATTCGCTTCTTCCATATAGTCACCGTGGCAGGCATACCTGACTGAACACCTGGAATCCGTTCAAAGCAAAGCCCTCCGTTTTGTTTATTCCGACTATTCCCCTAACGCAAGCATATCAGGATTTTGCCGATCAGTTAACCTTAACACTCTTTCTCACCGCCGCAGGGTCTCTCGTCTTTCTCTTCATCTGATTTTTTATTACAACAGTCATCTCAGACAAAGTTTGCTATCGCCTCCTTACCGCGTTTTCTCTCGTCTCGACCATTCTTGCAAACTCCGTCCGATTTCATCGTCAACTGTCACTCATCAAATGTCTACTTTACCATTGGCCATTGACGACTAGAACTCACTGCCTGACTTAATGGTTTCTTTATCTGACACTAAACAATTTTCTGCAACCATTAGTTTATTTTTTCTAACCTGTAGCTAGAGTGCAGCGTGTTTTTGTTTGTAAATAGTTGTGTTGTTTGTTTGTTTTTAAAGGGTTCACTCGCTTGTATAATGTCCCCTGGGCTTTCAAGGAATATTAAATGATGATGATGATGATCAAGCAGCATTGGCTTGTTTCCGATTCATCGATTGGTATAGCAAACATTCGGCTGTTCGCGTAGCGTTACTGATTTTCCGCTCAAGGGTATGATCTCAGGATACTTGTATATGCATCTGAGATTTCAGACCGATTTCAACTTTTATCAGATTGGCTACAACATTTTTGTTTTCTGACAACCAAAGGCTGTAAAAACTACTTTGTTTCGTAAATGAACTACGTGTGATGCTTGTTTTCTTCTTGGCCTGGTAAAGTGTATCGGGCTTATATCCACAAACAACAATCAAGATTGTGTGCACCAAAATGGGCAGCCAGTATTGGTGTCATACGAGAACTCTCCGGAATTGTCAGACGGAAAAAAAGTGGTTCCCCTTGCCAAGGCCTACTATATTTTGGAAGCAATCGCTCCTAACTCGGCGCTCACGGGAATATGACACGGAAAATTCCGAACAGATTTAGCATGCTTCGTCCAAATGAGGTACAGCATGTGAGTGAAAATTTTCGTATCTTGCTGCAGCTTTTTCCAGAAAATACTTGAGTAACCCGTTGTGCAAATTGATTTTTTTCCATTATCTTTTCATATAAGTTAAGTAGATTTGCAAAACATTTTTTTCCAATAATTTATTACAATTTATTGCAATATTAGCTTGGTTGTTGCAATACAAACCATTACGTTTTGTTGCCTAATAATCCACAGTGGTAAAGGGATTCTGACGGAAATACCGTTGAAAACAGATAAATTGAATTTCTGCTCTTTTTGACAAAAGCGCCAAAAGACAAGGACATAAAGTGAGAGACACAGTACAAGCGCTTGTGCTAGCTGTGTCTCTTACTTTGTGGCTTTTTCTTTTGGCGCTTTTGTCAAGATTAACGATGTACCAACTAGCCCAACTCTCACTATTGATTTTTGCTTGTTTTTTTTTAGATATCACGACTAGCCAGAGAAAATAAAAGTATAAGAACGTGTTATTAGAAAAAGAATGCGCAAACTTTCGTGCTAATAACATACACTTCAAATTTCTTCAACAATATATGTGCTCGCTCTGAGAAGTTGATTATTGATAGCTTAGTTTTCAATGGGTAACATTAACCAGGCTGTTAAATGTATCTAAAAAAACACATTAAACGCTTACTTATGCGCCAGTTCATGGGCGAAAACGTAGGCTCCGTAATAGCTTGTCGGCGGGTCTTCGCTCATTCCTACTCTCCATTCGGAACACGCTGTTCCGAGATAAGCGTACCCTAAAAAGCAATCAAACAATCGATCAAATAAATTATTTATCAATTAATCAATCAATGGTTTATCCAGTTAGAGAGTATTCAGATTTATGTTTTTGAAATACATTGAAAGCGAAGCCGCTAGAGCTCTCTAGAATTAACCCCAGCAGTAAAAATCAGCTGCACTTTAGAAATTTTGACTTTAATCGATAAACTTTCAGTGTGCTGTTGTTATTAAGAAAAACTAAAATATTCTTTACTCGAGGTATATTGAACCAATGGCGATATTCTTCAATGTTTAAAAAAATGACGCACCTGATAGCCAAAAGAAGCGGTGTTATTCCCATATATAATACCATACTTTAATATATATGCCAAAAGGATATACCAATCATAATCAAAGTGGAGACAGCAATATTGAACTACTTGACTTTTACTTTGTCTAAAACGTTTTTACACAACTCGGAGGAATGGACGTGTGGTTTCTTCTAAATAGGGAAATAAAACAGCTCAAATTAAAGAAGACACGTAAGACTGCTTAGAGTAGGAATGCGAAAGCATTTTTACTCGCAGCGCATTCATACAAGTAGCGCGCCACGCCTTCCTATCGCACACGGCGCTCCGGGGTTTGACCTGACGCTCCCACACTTCGAAGGCCCGGCGAATCCCGACGGCCCCACGCCTTCCGTGACGATGCGTCTGCGTTGCTGTGCTCTTGGCCGATTAAACTTTAACTGCCGTTTCGTTGCTACAGATGGCAAAAGACAACGGCGGCTTCGCTCCATGGGACAGTTAATGCTCTCTTTATTAAAAAAGGGGACAATGGCTGCCACTTTAACTTATCCAGTTATTCTATTGCACTGATGAATGAAGATTTTTTTAATAAAATTTTTAAAGGGCAACTCCGCTTCATTTTTGGTTTTGAAAAAACAATGCAGTCCTCTTCAGTATCGCCTAGGAAGACCACCCGTGAAATCTTACGACGCAGTTCTGTCTAAATGTTTCTTAAACGGTCCGGCAAACTTTGCAACTCGCCAAGTTCCCGAAATCGGCTGACTTGAGCGGGCGAATTCAGGCGCAACCAACAGCGCAGTCAAGGCTACGGCATGGGCGGAGCCAACATTGAGCTAAACGCCATCTACATGGCCCCCTTTTGCTTGTTTTCACTTCTCCGGGCGAGCGTAGCGCATGACGTCAGCAACGTTGCCTCTCGGCGCTTAGCAGTGTCCACGTGATTGGCGTAACGCGCCTGCGCAGCGCGTTTCTTGGGAGCCGTCCGGCCGCCCGCCGTGGTGCCGCCGTTACCGCCGTCTTCCGCGTCACAACCGCCGTCGTCGTCTCACCGATTGTGATTATTGTCTCTCGGAGTTTCGTCCACACTACGGACACCACGTGCGCGCACACTTATGCCGCAGTTGTGCAGACGTCGTCGAATGCCGTAGACACCAAAACGTGGCGAAGAGTGCGGTGCAGACGACACTCGCGCCTGCCACACGCCCGCCCCGATCCCGCCCGTCGTTGGGCCGAGGATCACGTGACATCTCGTACCACGTGATGGCCATGTACTTGGCGACTCGAGGCCAATGTTGCCGGGCGGAGCCGAAGTTTCGGTTTTGATTTCCGCTCGTGTTTAAAATCAGATTTAAAAATATATATCCCATTTTTCGCGAAGCGAACGACGTAGTGTGTTTTACTAGGGCTTTTTAATTCGAAATCAATCATTATCCCGAAATCTTCGGAATTGAGCGGAGTTTCCTTTTAACCTTAGCACTGATATGTAATAAGGTAAGAACATAGTTTCATATTTTGCAAGGTCACCAATTGAATGCGGCAAAATAGTTCAATGCGGCCAAAACTCCAATGACAGTATAATTTTACGCATGTGCGAAAGTATTTTTATTGAAGCTCAAAATGATAACTGAAGACTCTGAGTCACTCATCTAAAAGACACATGCGCGTAAATATTCCTTGTAAAATAAGACTCACCTCCAACCCAGTGTTGTAGTTTGCCATCTACCCATTCGGACATATTTTTACTGCAAAGTTAAAAATATGTTTTATTATCTTAGCTTACTCATTTACGTCCTAAGCTTCATATGAGTCTGATGTATATATGCAGTTTTCAGTTTATTTTTTTTTAAATTGATATTTTTGTCATAAGAGTCTTTTACTCTCTCGTTACCTTTTACGATGCGCATTCACGAGGCATAATGTTTCACATGTATTCAATGTGAGAAAATGCGCTACCTACATTTCAATATTTGCGTTTTTGTTTTTGTTTAGATATTCATCCTATATTGACATCGAGACAAAAGAAAAACGACTTGCTTAAAAAGTTATGCGTAATCGAAAGTTTCAGAATATCTACTAAATAAAATTAAGTTTGGTGGTATTGGGCAAATATTTTTCTTAAATATAACTGTAATGTAACAAGTTAAATACAGAAGATAAAAAAAATGAAAAAGGATACTGTTGCGCATAGTTCGAGCACTTTAGCGCAGCTGATTTGCAACCGCCTCGAAGATGATGACGTGCAAAATACATCAGCCGTTGTACGTAGAGAAGTAAGGTTTGTAACCAGCGGTCTTGGATTTTGGTAGTCGAAACATATCGATTTTAGTATATCATTGCATATTTAGAGTTGCAAATGTTGCACTTCCCTAAGAAGTATATCAACAAAAATTTTGTCTTTTGGGAGTTCCGTCATCCAAAAACGTTTATAATTGACTTCGTACCTACCCTGTTACAAGGAACACAATATCGGAGGTATAATAAAAAGGTTTTGACTTCATCTGCTTGTTGAAATCCTCAAGTGTTTCCTTAAACAAAATATTCCGGTACTTCTCATATCCCTTTACATTGTGGATGTATGGCTCGTCTGCTGGCTGTTTCAGAAACAAATATAACCAGCATAAGAATTAGTAAAACGGTGCTCATAGAGCTTAGAGAACGCTGGATTCTCCCAAAAATTATGACGTATACAACACTTACTTTTTTATTCATGGTTATGCCAGTGATCCTGAGCTGTACTTTTGGAAATACGAAGCTGGCATACCTAAGATTAGCCTAAAAGAGACGTAAAACAATGGCAGAGATCTTTATCTGGAAAGCTCTATAATGCATAAAATGCAGTACTTAAAGGTGTACTCCGCCGATTTCTTCATGGTCCCCGATTTGCTTTAAATTTTGCTAAACTCGCCAAACAACATCGCCAAAATAGTATCCCAAATATTAGGTCAAAATAATTTTTTTTCACGAAGTTATTGAATTTACAATTTTGGTCCTCACCGTGTTTTTCAAACTGAAAGTCTCTACTGGCAACAATGAAAACGTGACGTCATTGGAAGTGCAGGGGTTCACTCTTTGGACTGTAGAATTTGTTCCCAACTGATTTGAAGCAGTTTCATGGTGTCAAATGAATGCCTTGGAAGCTCGCTCCAGTCCCCGCGCTCCAGCACGGAACAAATAATTGGCATATTCTATTTTTTAGACTACTCGCCCGACTGGCAAGCTGAACTTCCACTGACGTCACGGCCCTGAAAAGGGCGGGTATATTTGAATGTCTGTTTTTGCATCATTTTCATTTGCCGATTTCGCAATAACTATTATGAATTTCACGATATTAAATAGCATTCCAGAAAGGGTAAAGGCCTGCGAGTCAGAAAATATAGTTAGTTGAGGTAGCTCAAAAATCGGCGGAGTACACCTTTAAGGAACGAAGGTTCACCTTCAATTAGAAGACATTGAAACAGTTCTTTCTGAGAGCGAAGAACCCACTGCATATAGTGCCAGGATTAGATATTCGGTAAAATGCAATGAAGGTGCAAGTAACTGATGTGATAGGTGTGTCTTCTAATGGTCGCATCGTAAGTATTACTTGCCTGAGACGCGTCTCCGACTGGTGTGTTTACGGAGCCTAAAAAAGAGGTCCCTCGATTTCCGCCTGATGACGTCATAGAAGCTTTATGCTGTAGACGTCCGCGATCCTGGCGGCGTCCCAACTGCAGCGGTGGGTGTGGCATACGCCCGTTGTGCTGCACTTTGCTCTCCTGCTTAACAGTTCAGGGAAGCTTCGGCAGCCAGAAGTTGGGATGCCTCGACGACAGCGACACTCGCGTTCCCTGGTGCTTTTCGCCGGCACTTCTCCGACCAACCGGAAGGATCGTGACATCCTACAGCGCGACATCCCGGTTTCTGTGACGTCGTTTGTTGCCATTTCGGGACCAGCTTCGATGCATGGTGAGAATAGGATGCTGTACACACCACACGCGTTCCAAGCACCGTAAGAGTGCGCCGAGGTGAGCAAGAGACGTGGAGAAAGAGAGTGGGAGGGAAGATGAGGAAGGTGGGGAGTGACGAGAGAGAATGAGAAAAGAGAGAAGGATAAGAGAGAAGGAGCGGGAAGCCGAAGAGAGGAGAAAGTGGGCGGGAGAGAGAAGGCGGATGTGGAAAAGTGGGGGCAGGGGTGGGAGAGGGAGTGAGAGGAAGGATGGAGAAGTAGGTGGGGAGGAAGGAAAGACCTTTTCTCCAATGTCCTATATTGCATGAAATGCAGCACTTGAGGTGAGACCATTTGATATTACTTAGATAATATTAAATCGTCGTTTACGTGAGTGAAGAACTTTTATTACTGCGAAGGTGTATGTGACTCACAGGTTGGAATTTTAGAACTTCTTCGTGTGATCGTCCTCATAAAAAAAAAAAAAAAGACACTTTCCGCGATTAAAGCGAAAAGTGCATATTACCCATACAACATACAGCACAGCATTCGGTTCAATAAATACAACCACAAAACAAGCCCATGAACCAGATAATTGACGATAAGGCGCTCATGACAACAATGCGGAGCACGTAGCGCTCACCGCACGTTTCCGGGTTGTTGCGCAAGCTGACGCGACGAGGGCAGCTTGCGACGTGCAAGGTGGCGACACTAGCCTTTTATATGTAAAACGTTTTGGCACAGTGCATTCACTTTTCTTTCGTGAATCATTTGGTATAGACTCTTTTGCTATTTACAAACATGATCTGCCTCCTGCGGCCCAAGCCAGTTCCGGTCGCTCCGTCTCTGCGACCTGTCGAGCTTCCTTATTCCACCGTTGCTAGAAAGCATAAATCCAACACGTACATAGAAGTTGGAGGTTTGACGAGGGCACTCGGCTAGGCAATTTAATGACTTGGAGGAGGCAAGTTGGTTCACAAGAATATTTGAAAATTTTTAACAGATCTCGCTCTTGTTCGTTGCTTTGGCGTTCACCTCGAGAATTGGAGGTTATACGTTTCATCGACATTTCAAGCAGTGATGTTACAGTTGGCTTTCTTCATTATTAGTTTTCTGAACCGCAAGTTCTCTGGGACGTCAAAAACTGGAGCACCGCTTGGTGGCGTCTACCATGAAAAGCGTCTATAGTGCAATGGGAAATCGTGGCAGGTGATATCACAGCTTTGCTCAGCTGTGGTATCACCACAGCATGTGATGCAACAGCGTGAATTCGAGCCCTAATTTTTTGCTATCGATTTACCCGATACACGGAGTATGAAACTGGGTTCTTAGTTCACGGGACGTCAATTTCTCCCCGCTAAATTTAGGATGAAACTTAAATTGGTGTATAGGTCACATGACGTCAATTTTCCTGCTAAATTTTGCCGCAAATCCGTATTGATAGACCATGAGTCGTCAGGTCACTTGTCGATTTTCCCGTTAAATTTAGCAGGAAAATCGAAGGAGTCTAAGTTACATTACGTCTATTTCCCAGCCAAATTTAGCGGGGAACTGACTTGGTGTATAGGGCACGCGACGTCGAGTCACGCTGCGTAAATTTTCACGTTAAATTCAACGGGTATATTGAATTGTTCTTTAGGTGACGAACGTGAGGTCACGCGACATCAATTTCCTCGTCGGCTATAACGGGGAAACTTATTGATCAGTGTGTAGATCACGTTGCGTCTAGTTACGTGACATTAACTGATGTGGCGTTACCTAACTACCACTTTAATTTGCACTCTAGATTTAGCGGAAACTGTTTGGGATTGGAGGTTTTGTTAAAAAGCATTTGATGCTGTAATACTTACCGCATTTGTAAGCACTGCGAAGTAACGCGTCACCTTGTACACGTCAAACTTAAAAGCACTGGCGAAGGTGCTATCCACCACAAGGTGAACTTCGGGATGGATCTCCAAGGGGATCTTGTACACTGTTGCAGAATGTGGAAAAGCAAGGGGAACATAGCTTAAAACGTCATGATGAAATTAACTGTACTTATGCAATAAAGTGGACTGTCACTGGACGTCAATAACTGCTTTATGGTATATTGAAAATGGTACAAAGAATGAAGTTTTACATTCATTTCTCTAGCAAAAAAATCCTATATTATCAGAATCTTCGTCCAAAACGCACATGATCAAATAAGATCATAAACGAGAACACAAGAAAACTATAAAAAAACATGTAAAACAATATAAGATAACTTTGTTTTGGGGGCGGTAGTATTTGCCTCGCCAATTGTATTAATGTCCTTTGACATGTTTTCATACTTTTTAAGTAGTGTTGCTGTAAACACGAACTCACAGTTGACCACACAAGAGGCTTCATAGCTGTTTGTGGACGATAAGGAAAAATAAAGCATTATTAATAATATTATTATTGTGATTATTATTATTATTATGATATACGAGGTTATAAAAACTAATTTGAAGTTTCTTAGAAATTGTGATATAATTTTATGTTCTCCTTAAATTCTCTTAAGTTTCTTGTATGCTCTTATATGATCTCATTTGATCGAATGCGTACATCGGACAAACACATTGTTTATACAGATAAAATGTTTCACTATGGTTAGGCAGACTTAAAAAAAGGTTATCCTGTCATTGTAACAAGGTGAGCTTTAGTTAACTTAAAACATAATCGCCTGTGTAGATATTTTTATTGCGAGACAAAACGATCCCGACTGCCGTGTTGAGTGCTAAACTTACTACTGTGCTTTGTGCTTCCAGTTCTTGACTCGACGGGGGTATTTGATGTGTTTGGGGAACCTGTAAAGCAATATAAATTAAATATATATATATATATATATATATATATAAAATACAGTAACTTTTTTTTCTTTGCTATCAGTTCGTTTGTTAAAGGTATCTTATACGTTCTGGTACTTAGGTTCTGAAGTGCAAACGCCGCCACCAAATTGAATACAGCTTTCAACACAGATCAAGAGGTTGTAACAAAGGTTGTTGCCGACATTCATGCCATTAGAAAAATAAAAGTGGTGAAATGTACCACTGCCGCAATCATATACAGCGCCAGTAGATTTGGTTTTGATTGATTTGGAAGCTAATGTTTCACTGCTGTCGTGCGCGGTTGGACCCAGCGGAGAGTGTTAGTTCTTGCGTTTTCCACTATGCTCCTCCAGTGTGAATACTGGGTATTCTGCAATTTGATTGGGCTTACCCTCGCGTGCTTACCCTCCAGGGGATAATTATTGTTCATCTAAGAGAACTCATGTGTGAAAAAGAGAATATGCTGTGGCTTGTTTTTATTTCATCTTTTATATGAGTCGTGAAGAAATGGCGAAGGAACGATAAAGCAGTACTTTTTTTTAATGCGAAAGAATTAACTGTCTCATGGAGTGAGCCGACGTCATCAGTTTGAAGCGCGCCAAACGGCACCTTAAAGGGACATGAAACGAATTTTGGAGTGGAATAAATCAATTTATATTGGAATTTTACTAATAGCACATCTTTCAGTGGGCCAAAAGAAAAAAAGAAAGACAAAAAACCTGACTTTCAGTGCGAAAATTTGAAAACACAGCGGACTATTTTGTACCTCCTTCCCTTGTAAGCTCTCGGCCTTTTCACTGTGATATATCCGCGGTCCCCGCAGCGCGTCACCGGGCCCAAACGCACGTCACACCGACACCGGACCTCACTTAATCTCTTTACCCTTAAGCTGACATTATGGTAGAAGCTATGCGCTTGCCAAACAAATCAGTCGCTTCAATTTCATTCTCCGCGCGTGGGTATGCGGGAAAGAGCGTGATCACGTGGCAAAAGTGGCTGGCCCAACGGGCACGTAGCTTCCACAGCACTGTCAGCTTTGGGGTGAACGGGGTGGGGAAAGCAACTTTTGTCTGAATTTTGAGCGACGGTCTAATCTTCTAGGGGGAGAATGGCTGTGTTCGGGTACACAAACTAGAGTCCGAGCAAGAGGGGACTCCCCCCTTTCCGCCTTCTTGAACTGTTTGGTAGAATGCGCGATTTATGAGTTAAGGAGGAAAGCTATAAACAGAAGAAAGTTCGAAAAGCGTTTCATGACTCTTTTAAATCTTTCTCCAAGTGAAGCCAGCTCCCAGCTATGAAACCACGCGAAAAGCCTAGACAACGACACCTAGTTTCCTCGATCCCAAAAGGAGCGGAGTAAAGCTGATGGATTTCGCCTGCGGTCCCATTGGCTGGCGCGCGTCGACGAGGCTCTCATTGGCCGCTGCGCGCGTCAGTTTCAACGACCGCCGCCACATGTCGCTGCGTGTCCATGCCGCGAGCGCGCCTGTAATACGAAGCGTCCAAGGTCAGAGCTGTGAGAGCGCTCGCTCGGTCGACGCAAATGCGCCGCAAACGAAACACGGGTGCGGAAAAGCGGCACGCATGCTTTCGCATACACAACACTTAAGTGCTTAGGTGTACCTCGAGTCTTTATAATGAGTAGTTATGTTGTAAGAAAATGAACAATAATAACGTTACTAATGCAAATTTTCTTAAAACAGTTAAAGTCTGTAAAAAGAAGTTGCAGTTTCGTCGTTTTTTTTTTGTACAAAAAAAAAAAACAGTCTTTTGGTAGCAGTATGTACACCTTCGCCAAATGTCACCGTCCTCAGACTGCGTGTTCATTTTAAATCGTACATTAGATAATGGTTGAAATAAAAGCCCCGGCTAGATGGAGCTAGTCGATGCCCGACTTGACGGGTTCAGCCGTATGCCTCCATTCACCGATTCACCTTGTTTATATCTATGCAATGTACGGGTCACTGAACTTACCGTAATCATGTGGCCTGCCGTTTTTGTGTGCGTCGACTTCGTACAACATATGCGGTCTTAGGCCATCGCTGGTCCGGGCCATTGCCGGCAAAGGTTTAACACGAAGCCTCTCTCCAAGGATTCCTTCCTGGATGTTAAGTGAATTTAAAGGCTTAATGTTTGTTTCGGTGGTACTACATGGTGCGCTTTCACGAGTCTATGAACTGATCTGGTAATCGACGTAATCGAACGCGATAAAAATATCTTCCCTTAAAGTTTTTTTAAAATATTTTTTGCTTCGGTGTTCAGCGGCGGCAGTTTTTGGAAAAAAAAACAGTAAAATATTTCGCTTCTGCATATTTATTTTTCTAATTTATTCAATGAATTTGCCTGGCATAAAAGCCGCTTTCCGTACTCTTGCGTCGTCTTCCTGCTGTGGCCTATTTAGTGCCATGTACTTCTGAGCAAAAACTGACAAAGTGTTGCATACAGTTCATTAAAGAACCAGGTCACGTTAATTTATTTATTTATGAATACTACTAATCCTCATTAGAGGCTTATTGTAAGGTCGTAAAAAAGCACATATGTCTAACCAGAATACAGAGGAGACAAACTTATAAGGGGAGTAACAAATATAGGGGAAAAAAACGGAGTGGATGAGACATGCCATGTTCACATCAAGAGCACCTCGACATCATTCATCAACTGTGTTAGCGGGCTATCATGGACAACGTGTTCGGGAAAACTGTTTCATTCCGAGACTGCTAGCGTCAAAAGAAAAGGAAATGTCAAGCAATTATTTTAAGGCTGGAACTCCTTAAATGATTTCCCATGATTTGAACGGACTGGTCTTCCACCTCAGGGAATAAGGTAGTTGGATTTTTCTATTTTAGTCAAGTTATTGGCAATTTGGCAAATCAATTTTAATATCGAAAGCTTAGCTCTTCTTTCTAGTGGCTGCACGCCGAGCATTCTACACAGCTCAGGGGGTGAATCGCGCATGCCGAACGTATTGTTAATGAACCTTACAGCGAGCCTCTTCACTTTGTCAAATTTTCTTTTGTTATATTTTGTGAAGAGGAACGAAACAGAGCTAGCACAGGCCGAATACGGGTTGTGTACTTTTATATCAGACGACTTCTGAAGCCGGGGTGTTGCTTGTCATAATATCTAAATATCTTTTCTGAAATCGTTATCAACGATATTAAACAGTAACATTGCTATATTATAGCGTCAATGGAGGCTTACGCAGAAATTAAACTAAACCTGTGGAAGCTAGCGTGGACAGGACTATTGCATTTTCCGCCTAACGCAGCGCCGGATGTATGAACTAGAGTGACTGGATTTCAAAGGTTTCTTCACTGCTGGATTGTGGTCATGTAGCTTATGAGTCGCGTTTTAAAATGCGAGCGGCAAGGAGGTGACGAGAGTGTTGATCGTTTTTCAAGTGTCTAAGCCACTTCACGCGTTTTCCTCAACGCCACGATGCAACGTATGCACACTTGCGACTAACCGGCTGCAGGAGGCGATCGCCATTAAATTACAAACGCTCTCTATGTTTTCCGTTGCTCCCTCTCTTAAATCTAGGCTTTCTAGTGCAAAGAAGGACAACCTGTCACTCCGAGGCTCCGTTGGTTAGATCAGCGGCGCCTCGAGGTGGAACTGACAATGCCAGTCGTACGACCGTGTAGAAGAATAGGTCACAAAGCAACTTCTCGAAATACGGTTCTTTTAGACAGTGACTATCGCTCGGCGACCTAAACGCTATCACACGGCTGGTTTGACCGGGAGGTGTGAATCTACAGCATGTAAACCAAAGCTTATGTGGAATTTTAGACGGCACGTAAAAATGAAATTTTCAACGTGTCGCGCTGAACTTTACTAGAGATGCAAGGAGGTAGTGGAAATTTACAATGACAAAATAATGAAATGAACTTTCCTCGTTGAAAACAACAACAACGAAAATACCTTTTCTGGACAGTCTTCGCCGCTCCTTCACAGACGATGCGCGAGTAGAAAGAAATGCCGCCGACAGATGGCAGACGCCGCGTAGAGGGAGCGCCGGCCGATTTGGGTCGACAGCCAACGATCTCGCAAACGAACCCGTTTCGGCTGGCGCTCCCTCGACGCAGAGTCTGCCATCTCTCGGCGGTTCTTCTCTCTACGCGTACATCGTCTGCAAAGTGGCGGCGTTAATTACCCAGAACAGTTTTTGTGTTTTTGTATATTTAGATGAGCTGATATCCTTTCTTGATTTTTTCGGTGTAAACTTCCACCAAACGCTTCCACCTTTGTGTTCATTGCAGTGCGATAGGTCAAGAACCGAACTTTTGTGGGCCATCTAAAATGCCTTAAAAGCGTTAGTTTACATGCTGTAGGTACCGTAGCCATCTGCCTTAGTGGAAACGTTGTATTCCGTGGTCGTTGCCGAACATACTTCAAGCATCCAAGTATTAAATGCTGAACATAATAAATAGAGTTTTCTGTCCGTCAGAACCCATACCGCTAACTAGGGACGTCGATAAACGACTACCTGGGAACAGGGCTACGAAAACAGAGACAGCTATCAGGGAGGACGGCCACAACAAAATCGTAATGGCCGCCTTTTCGTTTTCGCCGAGCTGGATTTTATTTTCGCTGATTAACTTAAATGTAGAGCATTTAAGTTAATTCGCGCTCCACTGGTCGACTTTGGTTGGTTGAACACTGGCGAAATCTATTGAGCAATGTTGATTATTCTCATATCATGCAGGATCATAATTTTATTTGCTTACCACTTCCACGCCATCATCGTCCGTTACTCTTACTGATGCCATGTGAGTTGAGTCGTGGTAGATGTCACGTTCAGCATCTTCGGCCTTGATCTAAAAGGTGCAAAATATATACTTTTTACTCAAGTTTAACTTACATTTTGACTAACCTCTCCTTGGGAGGCATGGATATTAAAGCGTTACGTTTTTTTCATGCAGCCCCCAATCAATATGTATAGGTCAGACTGCTAAATAAAAACCCTGTTAATTGGGGTACGTCCAAAGTTGATATATCACTCGTAGCCTGCCCAGCGAGTACCATAAGCGAATAAATGCATCCTTCAGAGGGCAGTGTTTACACAGGAAATGAACTGTAGCACAGTTTTAAGGGCGATCGGTGGTTGGGTGGGCTAACTGACACCAGCTGAAAGCACGTGGAGCGAAAGCTCGCGCTGCAGAACACAGAGATTTGGGGCTCAATCCCCACCCCTGCCCCTTTCCATCTAAATGAGCATCGTACCGGTGTGCGGTTCTGTATCACTAGTGCGTGGTACACGTTGAAGACCCCAGACTTGCGCTTGTACTGCATTGGCTAAATGACTGATCTACAGCTATGAGACATGACGCCCGCTGAGGCGGATTAACTTCAGGCTGTATAAACATACACGCAACACAATTACAATTATCAAATTTTTCATGCTATTTTTTAATCGGAGAGCAATGTCAACATATTTCCGGAGAAATGCGTCACTGGCGTAGAAAAAAAGAATTTTGATTTGGCATAAAAAATACACAAAATAACGGCAAAGTGCCGTACGACCAGGCGAGTTAGTTACACAAGTGTAGCCAAGTAGTTGAGCATTACGCACTATACTATGATAATCACAAGCTCCTGCTATGCCCTAGGACTCAATGGTAGCACAACGTTTCATATACAATGCCGAAAAATGTTTTTATGTACGTGATACAGTGGGTTGTACTACTATTTTATCGGCGAACATTATGCACCGTAATAATTTCCTTGCATCAAGTTCTCGCAGGGTACTCGGCGAATTTAGCATCGTACTCTACGGATGGAAGTCTGCCAGTGACAAAGCAAGAAACGATTTATTTGGAAAAATAAGGTCTCCAACCGACACCACGAACATTACAGTAGTGCCTTCATGAACATGCTTTGACACATTGGGATCTTAATTTTACAGTAAAAAGGCTTTTCTGACGATTCTTATTTTTCTCGCCGTAAATCACACTGATTGGCTTTGCGAGCACGGTGCGAGTAATTTCACGATGATGAATATTTGAAAGTGGGGCGTGTTTATAAACGCGTATGCACGGTAGTAAAGGGTTCACTGCACATTACGCTAAAGGAGGTACATTTTGTTTGAACGTTAAGTGAACACTGTGAATTGCAGTTAATTTAAACGCGAAGTTTTACTATTCCCCAATTGGTTTAGTCGAGGATCGTGTACCCTCGCCGTTGCAGGTGAGTATCTCCCTTGTAAGTTGACCTGATTTATATCGTCAAGTAATAATTCAGTCAATTAACCCTATTGGAAAAACGTACAAGAAACAAACCTGCTGCTTGTACAGTCCTGGTATGACACCACCATAATTTATTGTTATTATACATGCAGCTAGTTTGGTTTTGCGTTCTCCATAACTGGAGATACCGGCACCGCTATGGCTCCGGGTCTGTCTATACTGGCAGCCGGTTTGCTCGCCGATATGACTCGGTATGGCTGGTATGATTTTGCGTCCGATGACGTAGGCGACCGCCATCTTTCCAACGAAACGCCTATACCACAAGACCACCGGTATAACTAAACCATACATGCAGAAAGACGACCGCCATCTTCCAACAAAAACGTCCATCGTTTACCACCGGTATCGTTACATACATCATACATGTCGAAAAATAACATAAGCCGCGTTTACATGAATGCGACTTAGTCGCATTGAATCCAGTTGCCGCATTCAATACGCGGTCATGTAAACGGCATAATGCGCAAAGCGCATCGCATTAAAGTCGCTAGACAGAGGTGGATCGAGATGGCGAGTGCGCATTCATTCAGCCCATGTAAACGAAGATCGCATCGCATTTTGGAACGGGGAGGATTATCGGAAGGCGCTCGCTGCGGGAGCGAGTGAACAGCTGAGAACATGGTGGCGGCCAACCTCGTCGGCGGCGCGGAGAGCGGTCCCGCAATTTTTTTCCCGAGAACAAACGCAAGCTTTTATTGCGATCATAAGTAAGCGGAATTTAGCGGAGCTGCTCGGTGACGGCGGCCCCGTCCAAACCTTTGCGAAGTACGACTTGCGCGTCCGAAGGGGTCACAACGGCTTCGGTGCAAGCACGCATGACACCGAGAGCTCCGATCACTGTAGAGCACTGCATGGTTGCGCAGAACGAGCAGCTCCTACCTCGCTGCCGTTCCTGGCTGCGCAAGAGCCTCTCGGACTCGGGGTCTGGTCGCGATCGGCGAGGTCTGGCGCGGCGAAACGTGGAGGCTTCCTCAAAGCGTGCACACACACGTCGCCTCTCGTTCAGAGTGGACCGGCGGCCCGGACTGGAGTCCTAAACGCCTTGGTTTTGATGCTTCTTCCGTCTCCCAACTTCTTCCACAGCACCGAAGACAGCGGGCGCGATCTTTACGTTCACTGAATGCGTCGAAAGGCCTCCACGTGCGATGCACCGGAAAACGTGGTGCGGCTGGTGCCGGAACGGAACTGACGGAACTGCATAACTTCGAGCTTTGAGTCAACGTGCACGGCAACAAACCGATCGTGACACTAAGCCGCGGATACCGCATTGCCGGTCGACAGGGGCAAATGGCCCGTTGCTCGTATCGTGGGCCGTGACTCGTACTCGGCCAACTCGGCGACTTTTCGTGGCCCCTCGCGTCGTCGCAACCAGCCGCAAACATACCAGCCCGCGACCGTGGCCGATGTCGGAGGAAAGCGAAACCGAAACGTAAAGCTTCCGCCCAGTGGCTTCCGCTGCCGCGCCTTTTCTAACTTCCCGGCCAGTCCCGGTTTACACACTTCCGGTCGTCGCGGAGATGGCGACGCAGCCAGACGTAGCGGTTTTGGCGCTGGCTCCTTCTGCGTTTTACGGGACAGATGTTTTACGGTCCGTTTCTACTGCGTCTCTGGCTCTCAACTCGACGTCGCCTCTCATGGTTCAACCAGGCGTGGTCAGCCGGGGTCAGCACAGCGCGGCCGGCTCAACTCGTCCGATCGCCGGACCGCAGGCGACTTCCGATTTCGGCCGTTAGGCCTAGGATCCGAAGGACTCTGTTTCCGTGAAGCGGTAAGCGAATCTCGTCCCGTTTTCGTTCTACTTTTAAATTACGTTAGGTGCGCTACAGTGTAAGCATGCGTGCCAAGTGTTCGTGACAATTTTGAACTAGAATAATTGTGCTTCATTGCGGTTTGTCATTTACGAAAAAGTAAATCGAGCAATGAACGAGGAGCCATGCTTGAAAACGATGTTAACTTCTACCTGGGCGGCTTAAAAAAAAGTCAAGACTGGTTACGGTTGGATGCGAGGCTGGTCCCAATGCAATGGTAACCACTTAGAGCACCTTTCTGAACAGCATGTAAGCAATATAGCGATCAACGAGACGAGCGACGACGAGAAGCTACGAGTGCCGGCGCCGAGCGACGAAGATTTCTCACTCTCGCTGCTTGCGCCGCTCGGTTCCTGGGCTTCTAGAAAACGTCGCTCATCACCTTGATCGCTCGCACCAATCGCTTTCATAATGTGTGTCTCGTCGCGCAGCTGACTACCGTGTTTATTCAAATATATGTCGACCTTTTTTTTTCTTTTCTTTTATTTATTTTTTTTTTTTTTTCGGAAATCGTGACTAAAGAATTTCGACCTACATTCGCGACGAAATTTTGCGACCGTACCGGAGGCATGAAGCTATCGAGTCACCGAGCCGGCGTTGCCGTAGAGCTGCGCCGCTTCTTGTTTCCAAAGGCTTTTTGTTAAACAACCGAAAACAACAGCGATGGCCGATGCCGCTATCGCGCGCACCTCTTGGGGCATTGGATTTCGCCATCGCACCTCTAGCGTTCCCCTTGCTGGGCAATGGGGAAGGAGAGGAACGCGATGCGCCATGCACTTTGTCCTCCATCCTCGCAAACGCGCAAAAAAAAAAAAAAAAAAAAAAAATGTTACTTTTGTTAGTTGCTTGAGGCGGCTCGGCTCGCGTGTTGCTCATGGCGACACGGCGGCTTTGTTTGCGTCTTTGTAGTTTGTCTTTCGTTGCTTCGCACCTTCTTTCGTTTCTTGTCGTCATTTTACAACGGTGTCAGTGAAGTATTGTGGCGGATTTGCGAGGATGTCTACCAAGCTGTGAAGTGATGTAAATAAAGGTTTCTTTCTTTTGCCCAAAATTTCCCCTGTTCTTAAAAATAAAAAAAAAGTTGACCTATATTTGAATTTTTTTTTTTTTTTTATTCTCGGTGGGTCCAACAAATAGAGTTCGACCTATTTTCGAGTAAATACGGTAACTTTAATTTTTATTTTGGGTTACGTCGGACGTAACTCGAATGCTTGACAGTTACGTTGGGCGTAACTTTAATTTTTATTTCGGGTTCCGTCGGACGTAACGTTAGACACTGCGTTACACTTAAGAAAAATAGGGGCTGATGGTTCATCATATAAACCAACCATTTGTGTTTAATTAAAGCGAATCACTGGCCTAAAAAAAAATACTGCTGTCCTATAGGAATGTAGTGCTTCAGATAAATTTGTTAATTTTTGCTTTTAGTCTCTGCCCCACCAGATACAACATCTGGCCTAAAGCAGTGTTCCGGATCTCCTTCCAAGACCTCAGGCGGGTCGTCATTCAATCCAGGAGGCGGCGGCGTCTCATGGGCGTGTTGCTGGTGCTTCTTACTGGATGGTGCTACCGAGGGAAAAGTGGTCGTGCTTGGGAAAGGCAAGTATGGCCGCCGTAAGTATAGATATTGTTTTTACCTTTGCTCGAACCCACCTTTAAGAAATGCACAGTTCGCATGTGTGCATCTCTCAATGCTTCTACAGTCGGCTGTTAATATTTGGAGTGCTCCAACTCTGTCAGTGCTAGTTTTTCTAGATTATGCAA